CACTGTGAAACATTATTTTTATTTATTTTTTTCATACAGTATTTATGGGAACAGCTAAATTTGCAAAAAAAGGATGAAATTTATAGAGTCCCTATGAAATAACACTTCACAAACAAAACACATGAATCAATTGAACATGTGATGTAGAACGTGAACTGTAAACACTGTATAACCCCGTGCCAAGCGACAGTACACTTAAAACATTCGAGTGGAATCGCGTTACAGCCAACACGCGTTCGCGTTTTACAAATATCGTTCTTCTATTCATCAATCGAGTTATGCCAATTCGCGTTGACTAAACACGCGTTGTAGCAGAAATGACTGTACAGTACTTTATTGAAAATGTATACCCTGTACAATCACTTCTGTGAATATCTTCAACAAAATGAATATCCTGTGCAGTAATTATAAATCAAGTTATTATTAAAATAACTTATTACACTCTTGTCCTAACTCCAGTGCAGTGAAGAAATTACATTAATAAAGACCGAATGCAAAAAAAACCTGGGTGTGTATGTTGACAATGAACTGAAGTTCTGGGGTCATTGTGAGAAAAAGGTAAATCAAGCAATTAAATTACTAGGTCTTACAAGTATAAGAAGGTCATTCAGATCTCTAGACGATCCGTCCCTCGTAACGATCTTCAAGAGTAAGGTGCTTTCCCGCCTGGAGTAGTGTGGTCTGTCAGTTATGCTAGGGGCTATCAGTTGACTGAAAATGCCCAAAGGAGGGCCACCAGACTGGTGCCTGCACTTTGGTACCTCGCCTACCCAGAGAGATTAGAGCGTGAGCAACTGCCTTGCTTATACTACAGACGGGCAAGGGGGAACCTAATTAAGATGTATAAACATCTCGAAGGGCACTTCTTAGTTGAGTGTCCATACCTAGAGCTGGCAGACGCCTACCCCACATGGGATCACAGCTCAAGGATGAAGAAGCTGGAAGTCCAGAAAACTGAGGGCGATCTCTTTCAGAGTGAGAGTTGTGAACTCTTGGAACAACCTGTTGTGACGGCATGGAGTGTGAGCTGTTTCAATACCAGACTTGACCAGCACTGGAGCAGGTTCAGATACATTCAGGAGCCAGTACTTGCCAACAGTGCATAAAAGAGACATGACTGACCGCCCAAGCGGCTAATGAGCCGATCATTTCCAAAGAGGATGAAAGTAAAAAGTAAAGTATGTATGGTATGTATGTATGGACATATGGTACATATGCACTGAAGAATTTATTGATTTTGCACAACTGATCAGTACAGACAGCCCCCCCCCCACCAAGAATATTATGCCAAGAATATTATTGTACTCGGGCACTTTTGTAGAGTAAAATGTAATTACTATTGACCTCAGAATATCTCTTAATATCATTTGCACATGGTTTCAATATCGCCTCAAAATGCCCATGATATTGGTCAGATTTAAAAAGAAATCGGGGGGCTTACAGTGTCCCCCTCAAAAAAAGCCAGCTGGATGGGCTCGATTTGCTCACCATGTTTCCCCACCGGAAACTTCTTGGACCCGCTTTTAATATTCCTGCATCCGCCCCTGTGTGCTGAGTAGTTTAAAGTCTTAAAAACGACTCTAGTTGGTCACATAAGGGTCTAAACTCACCCTGGGTCACTCCACTTCTCTGAGGTTAGGGTCAGATGCTGTTGTGAGAAATTTTCAAGTCATGTGTCAGGTAGCAGGTAACAGGTGGCAGGTAACATAAGAAAATAAGGAGTCTGCAATAGGCCGGTTGGCCTGTGCATGGCAGCTCCTGTCGAGAGTTACTACCACTCTCTATCATCCATGAATCTATCTAGCCTCCTTTTGAAACTTTCCAGAGTTCCCGCACTTACTACAAAGTTGCTAAGCTTGTTCCACTCGTCCACCACCCTATTTGTGAACCAGTTTCTTCCTATCTCCCTCCTAAACCTAAACTTATCCAACTTGAATCCGTTGCTCCGAGTTCTATCCTGCTCGGATATTATAAGAACTTAATCTATATCCCCTTTACTGATTCCTTTCACCCACTTAAATACTTCTATCATATCTCCCCGCACTCTTCGTCTTTCTAGGGAATGCAAGTTAAGTTTCTTTAACCTATCCTGATATGGAATGTTTCTAAGTCCCGGAATCATTTTTGTCATTCTTCGCTGCACCGACTCTAGTGAATTTATATCCATTCTATAATAGGGGCACCAGAACTGAACCGCATAATCGAGGTGCGGCCTGACTAGCACAAGATATAGTTGCAATAAGACCTCTGCACTCTTGTTACTTACACTTCTAGATATAAAACCCAATACTCTGTTTGCCTTATTTCGAACATTAACTCACTGTTTTCTAGGCCGTAGGTCCGGGCTTACAAGTACCCCTAGGTCTTTTTCACAAGTCGACTTCTCTAGGTTGATGTTGTTAAGGCTGTATACATTATAAGTATTTGTTCTTCCAATATTAAGTACGCTGCACTTGCTGGTGTTGAATTTCATTTGCCATTTTTCAGACCACCCCTGCAGTTTATTTAGATCCTCCTGTAATGCATTTGCATCCTGCCCTGAATTAATTTGCCGCCCTATTTTGGTGTCATCCGCAAACATGCTTATGTCACTGCTGATCCCAGTATCTAGATCGTTTATGTAGATTATGAACAAGAGTGGGCCTAGTACTGACCCCTGGGGAACTCCACTGGTTACACGGCCCCACTCAGATTTAACACCATCTACGCTGACCCTCTGCGTTCTATCGGTGAGCCATGATTTTATCCAATTTAAAACTTTCCCCTCGATACCATGAGCCTCAATTTTTCTCAGAAGCCTCTGATGCGGTACTCTGTCAAATGCTTTGTTAAAGTCTAAGTAAATAACATCGTAATTTTCGTCATTATCAACTACCTCGAAGACTTTCCTAAAAAACGTTAGCAGATTTGTTAGACAAGATTTTCCCTTTGTAAACACCCATGTTGAGAGTCGTAGATTAATTTGCTTTTCTCTAGATGCGATCGGATGCTATCTGCTATAATTGATTCAAGAAATTTCCCCACTACTGACGTCAAACTGATCGGCCGGTAATTTGACGCTGATGCTCTGTCTCCCTTTTTGAATATGGGTACTACATTTGCCTGTTTCCACAAGTCTGGCACAACTCCAGAACTGCCCACGCATAAAAATGAAAGATTTTTTTTTTCTTGTAAAACATTAGCTTGTCTGGACCTCCCTTTACCCAGACCGCCTGATAACTATTTTGCTACAAAAGAGTGCTACCCTGTATTCTAGAATTAGTCCTCCATTTCTAGCTTAATTCTTTTCACTAGTCAGCTCTTGTTATTGAAACCAGCCAGGGTGGGCAACCTGCTTCAGATGTTTGAAACTGTCTCAGTACCAACCAGAACATGAAACTGATACGAATGAATCTAAAGGTTCGAAGTAACAGACTCAAGTTCATACATCTGAAGCAGGCAGTGCAGCAGTAGCTGGCTGGGAGAATTAACGTACTGTTGGGTGAGACTGTACCACGCAAGGTAAGTAGATACCTTGGTCAAGGTAGGTAGATACCCTCTATACCTGAGATCATAACAAGTAAGGTAAGAGAAAACTAGAGGAAAGGTTAAATTTGTTCCCAGAGTTCCAATTCACGAAGAAAGAATTAATTCCATAGGCACCAACTTGAGATATACCGGTAGATGAAGTTACTGTATTGTTGTAAACGAACTCTCAGGGATTTAGCCAAAGTAAAATTAAACCAAGAACGAGACTTCTAATATTCATGCCGATGGTGAAAAACATTTGCTTGATTATCTATTGCTCCAGCAATATGTGAAATCAGGAAAAGGAAAGATCGTGTTCAACATAAAATATATAATTATTAAGAAATTCCCCAAACAAAAAGCCAAATTTCTTCACAAAACAGGGAACACCTGTTTTATAAACAGGAACCTCAAATATGTTATTCTTAAATCATTCAATACTCCTCCCACAGAAACACATGTCAAAGAATCACATTTTTTAGTTTGTTTTCGGGGCTGTTATACATTACATTTTCATCTTTATGACCATTTTCATAAGATCCGATCCTGTCCTCATGCTAGGAGACACTTGCTCAAAGAAATTAGTAGACTATCACTCGGTGTGCCTTGGTTTTCACACAAAACGACCTTTTGTGTAACGTGGTGATAAAGCTAACTGGTAACTCTTTAATAATATCCCGCAACGGGAGGCGAGTTCAATGCACACCATCAGAATAGATGCCACTTCATCTTTACTGATAACTTTTGCCTTGATTCTCTTTTTAAGGAAATGTTTTAGTTACTCTTAATTATATTTACAGTCTTTTCGTCATAGTATTATGCAGATTTATTAGACAATACCTCAGTATCTCGTTTCTGGCAAGTATAACAGGTGTTGCCGCCTTCAAAATGTGCTCATGTCCCGTTAGTTTACCTCTGTATGGAAGTCAATGTCTTAACATATGGGACCAAGTTGATGCCTGTATCTTATGAAACTATTACATATTTATGTGTAAAGATACGCACACGTAAAATACTGAGGCTTCTTATAAAACTTTCATTATTTAGCAGTTTCTTGGATATTATGCCGTTTTATATTAACTCGCTTAAACGTTTATAATAATGACTTTGCAAGAAGAGGTGAGTGCTGAAATAAAACAAAAGTTTTCTACAGCTTTAACTGAAACATATTTTAATGGTATACAAAGCTATTTACTAATTCAAATTACATAATGTATACCGTATACTGATGCTTTAGTTTTCAAACGGCGTTGCATGGTAAACACAAGGCAATGACCGAACTGGCAGCTTGTGTCCGACCGTTAGCTTCGACGAAGTTCCTTGACCCCTCACACAAAGTGTCTTCTGAAACCTTATGAAAATATTTATCTTAAAAGAAACATATGAACATTACTTTCACATACGCATGAAACATCACGGATAGTGAGCAGTTACCATTTCCTCTTTAGAGAAAAATAGTTTACATTATGGCAATCGTTGCCCTGGCCAGGACGAGGGTGTACTGAGTGTCGGCTCAACCCTCCAGCCCTCAAGAAGCGGGTCAGTAGTGGAACAAGTGGTGTTGGGTGTGGTTAAGCGGACGAACTCTACAGAGTTAGATTTCTCCACATTCTGCGCAGTGAAGTGAAAATTCATATTAATTATCGAGAGTACTTTTCAAGGAATTCAGACAAAACGCTGGTAAGGAAATTATTTGGAAAATAGAAAATTCAGATCAAAGACACTTTAAAACAAAAAGGACAAAAATACTGTATCGTGTATCAGCCAAGATGACCATCCTCTCGTACTTCCGTTGTGTAAGTAAATTTTTACATTTAAGTACAGTAATATAGTCACAGGTAGTTTTTGCTAGTTTACTACTCCCCCCCCCCCCCTATTATCCGACGTCATGTAAAATATCTACCGATACTAAATAAAGTCACACCTTCGCAGTGGCCGCATCCACCAGTAGGGTAGTGGATATACAGTAATTGGTGAAGCACCAAGGGGTCTGCTGGAACTTTTCCAGGGGGAGGGGGCAAGTGGAAAGGCAAGGCCGCACAGTCGGGCTCGGTGGGCTCATATTTTAGTGGCTTATTTTTCCCTCCCTTCGTTTTTGTTATATTATACATCCCTTTCTTTTGTTGCTTATATATTTTGACACAAGCCTGATGGGGAACTGCCTCTCTTCCCCCCTAGCGGACCCCCTTGACCCCGCAATATTAGCATCACAATATTAGCACCACACAATGAGCACCACACAACATATAGTTTGGTTCCAACTCTACCCCACTGCGGACCGTAGCCACCGCGCAGTTGAGATATAATATTTCGTGTCGGTAGATATTTTGCCTGGCACCAGAACCATGCAAACTCTCCTTCCAAACCCCCTGCCCTGTCTAAACGTTGCTAGGTAGTTTTGGAACTATCGTGGCTGGCGGTGTTGCATTGATAATTATCGGCCTTCAATGGCTGTGGTCCGGCCTTATGGGGGGCAATCTGGCTGTGGCCCCGGCTTATAGGGGGAGGGGGCAATTACTGCCTCTAACTACGTGCTTGTGGCCTTGTAACTGTAGACGTTTTAATTTAACGTTATTCCGCACTTATTTGGCTGTGTGATTGTTAGCCGTTTTATCTTCATCTGTGTGAGACGTTACGGGCTATTTTTCAGTCAAACAATTTACAGAAATTATGTTAGTGCGCGTTAAAATAAGACCTTTTCTTCATGGGGCACCACGCCGTCGGGGTGGATGACCCTGACTGGATACGAGTTTACTGGGCGTAGGTAGGTATCAGTGACCAGCGCCTGCGAATCGTAAATGTACGAAATTTGTATGGCGTGCTTTTGTAACCACCCCTGGCAGTCTAATGCGGCAGGGCTTGTGTCCCCGGGTAACTCAAATAAAAACGTTTGGATGTAAGGAAAATTTTGATTCACGGAACTATCCTCCATATACCATTAAATACAGGATTATATTAGGTATTTTATATATTGATATTGATTTGGTTTATTTGACCAGAAATATAGATATATACAGAGGACAATTATAACAACAGCCTTCACCTCCCTTCACTGTATCCTCCACCTCCTTTCAGTGTATCCTTTACTTCACTGTGTCCTCCATCTCCCTCTACTGTATCCTTCACCTCCCTTCACTGTATTCTTCACCACCCTTCACTGTATTCTTCACCACCCTTCACTGTATACTTCACCTTCATTCGCTGTATCCTTCACTGTATCCTTCACCTCCCTTCAACAAGATTCCTAGAGTGATCCTGTATAATAATCCTGCCCCGTGTTGCTTGTGGTTAACTGGTGCAGAATAGTGTGGAGGAAACACAAATTAAATAATAAAGGAGAACACGCAGAGAATATGTAAACAATTGGGAGGATTCACAGGAAGGGGGCAATAAAGTTGACACAAACAGGAAGCAATAAAGAGAGAAGGCACAGGGAGGAAAAAGAGGAAATATCAAGTAGGACAGAGAGAGGAAGAAATTAATATTAAAGACACAAGGGAAAAGAGAGGATAAAGAAGACACACTCGAGAAAGGAAATAATGTAAGGAAACAGGGAAAAAGAGAATATAACAGTTTTAAGGAAATCATAAAAAGCACACACACACACACACACAAATGGGAAGAAAAATAAGTAGTCAATCAAAGGCAAGAGGGAAGAATGAAGACAAAGAACCAAGAGATAGAGACAGACAGACACCAAATACTACAACTTTGCATCGGTAGGTAGTAGGCAGCTATCAAACAGGGAGGTACTACCGCCTGTGAAGATATTGAAAGCATAATGTGTTGTCTAGTGATAGACTGCTTCCATATGGCATCACGAAAATTGTGACCAAGTCCCAGGTTACATACAATTGGGGGGTCTCAATTGTTTCTCTTAATATTGACAACACAACTGACATACCGTATATCGTTTCTCATTTTTTATCTTTTATCATTTTTATATTTCTTTATTATTATTATTATTACTATTACTATTACTATTACATTTTCGCCCCCCGGGCCCCGATGTGGGTCAGTGACCTGTGTCCGGGTGGGCTAATCCCGTAAAAGAAAAAAAAAGAAAGAAAAAACTCGGAATCGAGTATGACGATTACCCAGCTATGATACAAGTTATTGGGGATGTCTCTTAGAGACCGATACGGGACAAGGTCGGTCACATTCATTGGTTGGTTTGATATGCAACACACACTAACAAAAAATTGATTTTTTTCTCATGTAGATTTTTATGGCAATTCCAAAACTTTGATCCTTTTTTTTTTTTAGACATTCATCGAAAAAAATAAAGGCCCTTTAAAATTTTAATGTTCTACATCAAAATGTTAACCTAACCTACCTAACTGGAAAACATCGGTCAACTTAAAATCCAAAAATTCCCTGGATGACTGAAAAGATAATCCCATCAATTTAATTTATTTTGGAAAACCTTTTTCAATTTTGTTGGAATCATGGACATACAAAGCCAATATATCTACACTTGATTCTAGCGCTGTTAATGGCAAAGTGAATTATTACCACCACTCCAAATGATGCACAACAAGTGGTAGTTCTTTCTTGCAATACATTGAGTCACTAACGGAATTAAAAAAAAAAGACATAAATTTATGTCACTGAATTTATCTTATTAAGTAACAAATTGTGGTTAAACTGATACACAAATGAAACATGCTTGGAAACTTCCTGGCACTGTTTACCTGGCATATTTGGACTTATTAAAATATGAAATTTTGGCTACTAAGTATTCATACTAATGCATTATTTATTTTGGTAGTGTTGGACGTTTATTAATTGCATTCAATATGAAAATTAGGTCGATATTATTTCTGGTAAGGGACGTCATTCACCATCCCAGATGGAGCAGTTCTCGCCACTCTTCAAATAGACCACTTACGACTTTTTTAAGCTTAATTTGATTTCCATACATTCCTACACATAAATTATTTGGATTAGTTATCTTAAAAGCTCCCCTCTTATGATGGTTAGGAGAATTTGGAGGATATAAGCGGCGATGAGGCAAGTAGAGGCTGGTGCCTGCAATTCGGCACCTCAATTACCCTGAAAGATTGGAGCGCCTGAACTTGCCTAGCTTATACTACAGACGGGCAAAGGGTGACCTAATTGAGGTGTATAAGCATCTCAAAGAGCACTACTCAGTCGAGTGTCCTTACTTGGAGCTGGCGGACGCTCGTCCCCACAAGGGGTCGCAGCTCAAGATTGAAGAAGCCGCAAGTCCAGAAAACTGTGAGGGCGAACTTTTTCGGAGTGAGGGTTGTAAACTCTTGGAACAATCTACCAGAAAGTGTAGTGACGGCACCGAGTGTGAGCTCTTTCAAGACAAGACTTGACCAACACTGGAGCGGGTTTAGGTACATTCAGGAGCCGGTGCATGCCCAGTACTTGCCAACAGTGCGTAACAATTTATGTGCATCCAATTCTATTTCTTTTCTTTTGGTTTCAAAATATAGTTTCATCGTAGTGGTCATCGGGCGGGGGTGCGAGTACCATGGAAATCTCCCACGTTCCAATAAAAAATCGAAGATTTTTTTTTTTTTTTTAGCCGACCATGGGGGTACTACAGCATGGTGTTCACCGCGTATATTCTTGCAATTGGCCCTTAGCCCAGACACGTGTGAGAAGGGTGTTACCCAAACAACACTGCGCCCAGATTCACTAACGGGTTACAAACATCGTAGTGCTTAAAAGTTCATAAACTCCTGCGGTGGCGATTCACTAAAGACTTACGAAGTCCACAACTCCATTTAAAATGGCTGAGTTTCCTTCATAACTTAACACAGATGCCATACCTACTTCACTCCTGAGCAGATGCTTCAAGTATATAAGGGATTAATTCGTCCTCAGTTGGAATACTGGGCCCAGATTCACTAACTGGTTACGAACATCGTAAGTGCTTAAAACTTCATAAACTCCTGCGGTGGTGATTCACTAAAGACTTACGAAGTCCACAACTCCATTTAAAATGGCTGACTTTCCTTTGTAACTTGAGGTGACTTTTGAGACCTCGTAAGCTATTGTAAAGCGAAAATTAGGCCGTTGGTAAATTTTTACCTTCGGACACGAGTTCCTTGGGGTTGACCAATATGTTTTTCAGTGTATTTTGGTGTGTTTTAAACGAATCTGACCTTCATTTTTGGCGGAAATTGCTAGTCTTGCCCCCCAAACTATAATGGGGAAGAGCCTGGGAAATCGGGGTTTCCTTTTTTATAATACATTCACAGAGATAATCAAAGGTTAAAATGCATAATAGTGGTATCCTAAGCTACGTTTATATATCAACAGATTTATAGATATATTGAAGAAATGAATGTAAAAAAGTTTTTCTCTGCAAACGCATTTTTTAAAAAAGTCATTTAAATTTTCTAGAGAACTTAAGTGTTTGTCGTGTACGATGTGACTTTCTTGGGTTAGGTTAGGATAGGGTTATGTTATGTTATGTTAGGGTAAGATACATTTCATTAATTAGGGAGCGAAAAAACATCACTACTGAATGTATCGGATAAAGAAACATATGAATAATTCTTTTTCTAAGAAAAAATGCTCTACCACTTAATTTTTACCACCTAACCCCCCCCCCACCCTTTATTAGGTTTGATGAACTTAGACTGGGTTAGGTATTATTTAACTATGAAAATTTTAGCTGTAAATTACTTATCTATTTCCAAAGCTCCTATGTAGATTACTGTTGGCACACAGAAATGAGTCATGGATACTTCTTGGATTCTTGGCAGAATAGCTTGCTAAACTTGGTCCTAACCATACCAAGATACTTTGAGTTAGAGTGCCCTGAAAGGTATACAGTATTTTCATTTCATATGTGGCACACATACCAAGGGCCTTATTTCAGATTTTTACTATGAAGCTTTTAGTTTGCAGAGGAAGATGTAAATAAGCTACCTTTGAAACATTTCACATAAAAACTACTAGGAAATAAAGGGACAATGAACTAAAGTGAAGTTTAACACTTTCATTGTTTTAATATGTAGGCATACAGGAAAATACACTGTTGTAATAAAAATGCCAAATCCACCGAACATTGCCTGTTAAAGTACCTGTAAAGAGAGAGAGAGAGAGTGAAGCAACGTTGCGGCAAAGAGAAAGGGAAGAAAGGTTGTCAACTAAAGGAGGGGAGTTAAAAAGACGAAATGCCTTTGATTCCACCCAATCTTAACAGTTGGACAGAAGAAGAACCACCCTAGATATGAGAGCAGTACTCCAAGTTAGGACAAATGAATCCCTCAGGAGTGAAGTAGCTATGGCATCTGTACAGCATTCCCAGCTTTCGGGAGGCAGCTTTAGCGATGCTGATGTGTGGCTTCCATGACATATTAGAGGAAATGGTAAGGCCTAGCATATCTATTTTGGAATTTGGCAGAATGATACCGTCCTGAAATGTGATTGGTGGGAGATCATCTAATTCGGAAAGTGTAATTGGTAAATACCGAGTTTTATTGCTATTGAATATAACCAAGTTTCTACGTCCTCATTTGGAGATGCTGCACAGATCCTCATTGATAGATGTAATGATATCGGCTCTAGAAACAGATCTAGTTTGAGAGTTAGGGGGAAGGGAAAAATGTGAAGAATAGTGAAGAGTAGAATCATCAGCGTAAGAATGGGTGCAATTAGTTGTATTGAAGTAAATCATTGATAAAAAGAAGGAAGAGTGTAGATGGAAGAACAGAACCCTGTGGGACACCACTATTGGTAGAGAAAGAGCCAGAGATCGATCCTCGACAACAATTGCCATGGATCAGTTCTCAAGGAAGCTAGAGATTAGAGAACAAAGTGGGGGAGCGAAACCATAAGAGGGAAGTTTAGAAAGCAAAGACTTGTGCCATACCTTTGGAGATGTCAAGGGCCACGACGAAAGTTTCCCCATAATCCCTAAGAGAGGATGACCAAAGATGGGTGTAGTAGGAGAGCAGATCACCAGTAGATCTTGCCTGGCAAAAGCCATACTGGTGATCCAACAAGAGAGAATGGCGTTCTAGGTGACGGAGAAAATGGGAGTTCAAGATAGTTTTGAAAATCTTAGAGGGATGAAGTTAGGGCAATGGGGTGATAGTTAGAGGGATTAGAATGGTCACCCTTTTTCGGGATGGGCTGAACCAAGGCATGCTTCCAAGAAGAAGGAGAAGTTTGGGTTTTGAGGCAAAGGCGAAAGAGGTGAGCAAGCACAGGGGCCAGAACTTTAGCACACTCCCTTAGAAAACGAGGGGGTATTCCGTCCGGTCCATGCGCCTTACTCACATCCAACCTGGATAACTCTACCAGTGGAGATTATAGGAAAGTGAATAGATTCAGTAGGAGGGATGGAGTTGGAATCATCTAAGGTGGAGTTAGAGGAGAATAAGGTGCCCAAGAGATTGGCGTTGTCGGGGGGGGATAGTTGGCTATAGGGTTATCAGGTCGGAAGATGGAGTGCAGAAGTTATTGTAGATGTTTTTGGTTAAGGACCAGAAGGATTTACTAGAGGAAGAGTTTGAAGCTTTCAACATCACTCACAATGGGTCTTAATGTTTTGTCTGTAAGTAGACATATCTAACTTAATGTAACACGTATGCATTCATTCATGCTTTTAAATCTTATAACATATGAGATATTAAGATTCAGTACTACTTGAGAGAAAACGGAGGTCTCAGGTGTACTAAAGCGGTGAGAAAATGGACGCCTCGGATGGATGACTCGATAATGAAGTTATAGCTACTGTTTTATGGGCTATTGGGTGTAATATGAATCGTCTGATTTTACGTTAACTAACATGTACGACTGCGGTCAGTAGAGTAAACTCTTCTTATTTGGGGGGGTTAGGTTCCAAGGTATGGCGTGAATAGGCAAAACCGCGAATAGCAATGTATACTACCTTAGTGCACTACTGTATACCTATACCAAACAACCGACCAGCTGCGGCAGCACTCGTCCCATTTTAACTTGTCTAATAATTCAACTTTCTTTGTCAAGGTCATCACTGACTTCTGCCTTTTACATTTCAATCCACTAGCATTACTAGCACTGACACTAGGCAGTCTTTTAGGTGCCATTTCACACAGAAACACTCAAGTTTTGAGAGTACCGCGAATGGCAAGGGTCTACTGTACAGTACGACCTAGGTGCATCCTCTTACACTTAAAGACATTGAATCTTAGCAACCATATCTTCGACCACTCTTGAAACTGACAGATGTTCTGAAGCTCTTCACTCTGTTTGGTTCTTAATTTCCCTGAATAACTCTCTTACTTGGCACCCGGGCTAATAAAAGTATCTGCCATGCTTCATCTGATGACAGATAAAAAACTTTTATGAACATTGATTTTTTTCTTTTCCAGGTCCGGAAGAGAGGACGGACGATGGTGCCCTTTGTGATGCTGTTCTATGTAGCTGTTATCCTAATGTTTGTTCAGTACAACTTTTATGAGGTTTGGAACACATCCGTGGCATCACCAATTAGAGGTATGAATTGAATGTTCAACAGTCTTCAGCAAAGTGAACTGAAGGCTGTTGTTTTTGTATACGCAATATGTAGCTTCAAATTAATGTCTGTATTAAATTGACTGATGTGATAACCTGTGAATTAATATCGTAGAATCATAGATCATAAGAAACACGAAGGTGAGCAAGTAATGAAAACAATGTACTTTATGTGCATTTAGTAAGGTTTCATTCTTTTACTTTACTTTTGTCCTCTTCAACACTGATCAGCTCGTTAGCCGCTTGGGCGATCGGTCGCGTCTCTGTCACGCACTGTTGGCAAGTACTAGGCATGTACTGGCTCTCTGTTATGCACTGTTGGCAGGTACTGGGCATGCACCGGCTCCTGAATGTACCTGAACCCGCTCCAGTGTTGGTCAAGTCTGGTCTTGAAAGAACTCGCACTCTGTGCTGTCGCAACACTTTCTGGTGGATTGTTCCAAGAGTTCACAATTCTCACTCCGAAAAAGTTTACCATCACAGTTTTCTGGACTTGTGGCTTCTTCAGTCTTGAGCTGTGACCCCTTGTGGGACGAGCATCCGCCAGCTCCAAGTAAGGACACTCGACTGAGTAGTGCCCCTTGAGATGCTTGTACACCTCAATTAGGTTGCCCCTTGCCCGTCTGTAGTATAAGCTAGGCAAGTTCAGGCGCTCCAATCTCTCAGGGTAATTGAGGTGCCGAAGTATAGGCACCAGTCTGGTGGCCCTCCTTTGAACATTTTCAACCAACTGACAGTCCTTAACATATCTCGGGAACCAGACGGGGTGACAGTACTCCAGATGGGGAAGCACTTCACTCTTGAAGATCGTTACGAGGGATGGGCCGTCTAGATATCTGAACGACCTTCTTAAAAGACCCAATAATTTATTTGCCTGATTTACCTTCTCGCAATGGCCCGAGAACTTCAACTCTTTGTCAACAAACACACCTAGGTCCTTCTCACATTCAGTCTCAAATAGTGCAGTTTCTTCATCCCGTTGGGACATATGATATGCCTCCTTACCATTGGTGCGCCCCATGTGCATCCTCTGACACTTCGTGATATTGAATCTCAGCAGCCATTTCTTCGCCCATTCTTGGAGCTCACAGAGATCCTTCTGCAGCTCTTCACAGTCCTCTTGGTTCTTGATTCCCGGAATAACTTGGCGTCATCGGCAAACATTTGTATGGATGAGTATACAACGTCAGGCATGTCATTTATGAAACAAACAAACAACCAACAGCGGGCCCAATACACTGCCCTGTGGTACCCCGCTTGTGACAGGTACAAATGATGATTTTGTGCCATTAATCACCACACACTGCTTGCGGTCATGTAGAAAGTGTTCTATCCACGCTAGGACATTTCCCCGAATTCCGTACCCTTCAAGTTTGATTTTCAACCTTCCGTGGGGGTACACTGTCGAAAGCCTTGGCAAAATCTGGGTATATATTGTCGATATTACCACCTCATTCCAGAATATGGGTCCAAATATCCAATACCTTGAGCAATTGTGTTAAGCAGGAGCGGCCCGGCATAAAACCGCGTTGGCAATCCTTTACAAGGTTGTTTTGCAGTAGATGTTCCATCGCGGCATCTCTGATAATACTCTCAAGTACTTTACATATTATGCTGGTCAGGCTTACTGGTCTATAGTTGTTTGCTGATACTATACTGTATATGAATTTGAGGGTGAAACAACCAACATGGTTTTAGCTTTGGAGAACAGCAGCAGCTTGTTATCAGATTTTTCATATCCTGCTAGTATTAGTCAATTTCTTATCAAATTTCAGTTCAAGCCAGGCCCAGAATGCATTTTGCCTGTCTTATTTCTTCATTTCTCGCTTACCTGTCATTTGTAGATGAATCTGTCAGTGCGATGCATTCATTTGTTAATGCGGCTATCCTTAGTCAATTAAACTAAATATCTGTTACAGGTATTAATTATTATTATTACCTGTACTACCTACAGGCATCTTGTTGGATTTAAGTGGGTATCTCTTATGGTATTCATGCAGTATTAAAACAGTTTTATCAAGTACTGTACTGTATTATTAATTCATTATCAAAATTATAAATACTGTACTGTAGTAACTTTCCACTGGTGTGTGTTGATTTGGTATAAGTTCTGTACTTTGGGTTCAGAATATTGTGGGCATGTCTATAAACCTTTTTAAACTTTCTCTTAATGGGGTAATTAGGTACAGTATCAGAATAATTTTTTGAGTAGATATGGTCAGGTCAGTTTTTGTTACCTAAGCTTATCTCTTTAGGTTAGGTAGTAACCAATGGTTAGGTCACGAAATGCAGCCTAATAATACCGTAATAAGCTTTAATGTAATAAAGTCTTCAGTTTTATTAAGTACTGTATGTACTGTATTAGTAATAGATTACTACACTCCTAAAGTGGTATGTAATTCGGTTATCTTTACCTTTCACTGTACACAGCTGGCTATGTAGTTTGAATTAAGGCAAAAATACTTTATTGCATCAGTGCATAAATTCATTTGCAGCCCAAGATGGAAGGAGTCATTAGATTGTGACAATGAAAGACATTGGAGGCCTATTAGAAACAAGTGCTTCCAGCAAGTGCTCAGGGCATTAAATGGAAAGCTACCTCGTGGACTAGGAACCTTTTGACACAAGCTCTATGGTTGCCCTTCACAACTTTGCAGACATGGACATCTTTTCAAAGCTACACATTCGTTAATTTGAGACAGCAATGGAGGATAATCATGTTTATAAACTTGTGAGAATGGCATCTTATTATAGCACGGTCGAGCTTTTTCATTTTGGAAAACGGAAAACAAAAGTAGCCATCGGAGAGAAAATTGGGAATGGATGTCTTAGCTTATTTTGTTCAAGCACAGTCGGTCTTCTTGTTTAAAAAAAATATGACTGTAAATGTGTTGACATAATGCTCTAACAACACCTAGGTATCTTTACATGCCTAAAAAATTACTCTTGCACAGGTAGCAGGCAGCTACCAAACAGGGAGGTACTACCGCCTGGGAAGATATTGGAAGCATAATGTGTTGTCTAATGGTAGACCCTGCTACCATATGACATCATGAAAATTGTGACCAAATCCCTGATTGCTGAACTGACTTTCCGCCCCAAATACAGTACACACAATTGCAGTCTCAATCGTTTCTCTTACAATCCCCACAACACAACATATATACTGTACAGGTATATCGTTTCTCACTTATTATTTTATTATTTTTTTTATTTCTTTATGGTTCTTTATTATCATTATTTTTATTTTTAATATTTTATTATTGTATTTTATTTTTTTATTATAAATTTTATTTACTATGGATTATTATTATTATTATTATTATTATTATTATTATTATTATTATTATTATTATTATTATTATTATTATTATTATTATTATTATTATTATTACCCTCAGGCCGCGATGTGGGTCACTGACCTGTGCCAGGGTGGGGTAAAAAAAAAATCTACTTCGGTTATAGGTTGATATTTTCACAATTTCTAATAGGTGGCAGTATTTACAGCACTACTGTACTGTACTTCTCACTCTTATTTCACATTGTTCTTGATATGTGTACCCAAAGGGAGCATATCCAAGCATTTTGCAGGTCTACAATCAGTCGAATAGCGTGCACTGGTGGCTGTACTCTGTAGACCATAGATTCTAAAGAAAGGTGAGAGAACTTTAGCATTTACAAGGGATAGTAAACAAAATTTCTGGGAAATCCAATATTGCTACCGGTGTGTTTCCAGCGGCTTAACTGCATATTCTGTATATGGGATGCTTAGCACTACTGAGCCACCCACCCAGTTAAAATTCAGATTAGTGCTCCATTCTGATGTCATCCCATTCACTATAGCTTTTTGTTTTGTTACTGAGAAATGAGGTTATCCATTCAACATATTTGTTACTCGTGCTGTAGCTTTTTAGCTTCTTAAGCAGCATTTTGGGAGGTACCCTATCAAATGCTTTAATGAGGTCACAGAACATCTGCTATGAAACAACTTATAAAGGAATGCCAAGATGATTTTATGCTGGGACACTCCTGCTTGATGTAATGACTCAAGGTGCTTGATGTGTGAACACAGGCACTGGATCGTGGTGGCAAAATCGATAATATAGGGTAAAGATGGAGCAGATGGCTAAACACCAGGAGTAGTGGTTTGATTTTGTTAATTTTTTCCACAAGTTCTTTGGATGGAAGAACGTAATTAAAATATGACTGCACAGAACCTCACCTAACCAAAGAAACCTACCTAACTTCCTAGGCAGGGGCTTTGCCCTCTCCTCTCCCCCCCCCCCCACCCTCCCAGCATATTAAACAAAAAAACTTATTTTGATATCTGGGACCAATGAAATCGACTGTCTTCAAGCAGAATGGTGTAATTTTTTTTTTTTTTTGTGGGCGTGAGAGTCTGCTCGGACTGAGCGGCTTGGTTGTTGCACTGAAACGGCACATGACAACTGTTATGTACGTGCAGACATGGCAGTTTTTTGGCAGGATATTTTTAGTAATGATTAATTTTTTGCTCACAAAGCACATAGAGATATCATTTTAGTGTAGTATGATCAAATTTTCACTGCTTTACCCTTCAATACCCCCTCATCCTTCATGCCCTGCCCACTACAGGTGATTTATGATCATCGATACAGAATTAAAAAAAACCTGTAATTAAAATATCATTGCTGTATCATTTTTATTACCTACTATTATCCTTAGAACATCTGTGGAAAATTAACACATCAAACAACTTCTTTGGGTGTTAGCCATCTGCACCACTATGATCATATTTAGACTTTGCCAAGGCTTTTGACAGCATAGCACATGACAGACTGAAATTTAACTAAAAGGGTATGATATTTGGGACGGCATCCTAGCGTAGATCAAAGACTCTCCACTACCGTAAGCAGTGTGTGGTGATTAATGGAACAAATTGTCTTGTGTACCTGTGACAAGTAGGGTACCACAAGGCAGATTATTTGATTGTATTTTCAGGAAAAATTGAATGGAATTTAAAAAAATTTCACTGATGCTTTCCTTCTTTAACTACCCCGGGAGGCACCATAGCTCATCTGGCCTTGGTTACACGTTTCTTTTTAACTATACTGTACAGGATTTGTTATTTGTAATTTTGTAAATTTCTTATGTTAATACAGTAGTGGCACATCTTTTGCTAATATTTGGCACTTCACCAGGAGGTTCTCTAGTAAACCTTAAATTATAACATCAACCTTTTGCTTATCATTTTTTTTGTATTTAGTCCGCTCTTCGTTGAAATACTGTATAAAGTTATTGAGTTTGCCTTCACACATTCTGAGCAATGTTTCTTTCTTTTAACTTTCTTTTAATTTCACTTCGTCTCTTCTGATTTGATTTCTTGTCCATCTGCATTCTCTTTTTACCTCTTGGTATTCTTAGCCACCATAATTCTCTAGGATTCATTCCTTTTAATCTTCCCCATAATCTTTGTTTTCTCTATTTTTAACCAAAGCTTTCTATTTGAATCATTGGCAGGTTGCAGTATTCTTCTATAACATGTCCCTCATTTTAAAATTCTCTCCTAGGTACACATGCATCAAATACTGAATCTCATTAAAATTTATTTTAAATTTACAGTACGTTACTGTACACCTCCACTACATTTCTCCTCAATATCAGCATTGCAATAGCTTATCGTAGTTAATACTTAAACCTTTGCCTCAGTGCAACAAAATTTGCCTTTTCGTACTGCGTGGCAGTGAGAAGTGGTATCACCCTCAGTGTCAAGACCTGACTGAATTACTCAGAATAGGCAAACTGTACTACAAGCTTTGTCAATAAATTTGTTAAACTAAAAAAAAAATCGTACTTACACAGTACTGTAGCTATACTATTTTCTTTCATTTTTCCTGTACCTTTGTCATCATCAAAACTTATACACACACATGATCACTCCTTCCAATGAAACTTGTAGTTTGTAACTCTGTGATGCTTTCCTTTGACGACCTGTGGTGTAATAGTCAGCATGCTGGCCTCGCGAGTAGGTCTGGGCTCAATCCCCGGGCAGGGTGAAACTTTGGGTAAGTTTCTTTACGCCATTTGTCTCTGTCTACCCAGCAGTAATTGGGAACCTGGATGTTAATTGATTTGTGGATCGTGTTCTGGGGTAATGGCTTGCCAGTGCAGTTGGCGAGTTGTCCGGTCTTCTCAGACACTGGGTCATGCAGTTCGTTAACTCAGGGTGTAGTTGTTGTGTTGGCGACAGCTTCTACACCTTAAACAAATTTACGCCTCGGTGGCCCGAGGGTCGGCCATCCTCGAACACGAGGGAACACCAACATCTGCCATTCTTGTGTAATTTATATTGATGCATGGAAGAATGAAATCCCCACGTCAAATCTTGTATTTCATATTTGTCTCATTTTTCCTGTATTAAATCCATTTCAATGTCAAAAGTACCTTTCATCTCAACACAAACATCATATTAACTGTGCCCCAACTACTGTACACAAAATAAAACGATTATTGAATTTTTTGACAATACGCTCCCCCATCTGCACTGAGGGGATTCTTGTCAATTCACATTTGTGTGCTTTATTCAATCAGCATTCTGTTATATCAGAACTTTTTTGGCTTCAACTCCTGTAGTGCTATAGTATTACATGAGGGCACATGGCCATCTCATCCATTCTGGCTTGGTTACTGAAGAATGAAGAGTGCACTTGCCTCCACTATCCTCCCCTTGTATATAGCCCATGTATGTCCATCCCTGTTCCTCATCGACTCTCTTTTCTGCTTCAAAGACTTCAGGAGTTTTTTTGTGCTGTTCCCTCTACATTACCGTTCAATCAGGGTTTATGATTATACCCCGAAATGCATTGCTCTTTGCTATTTTTTTTTTTTTTTGCATGCCGAATAACTTCCCATTTCTTACCCTCAATCACTAGTGTGATCCTGAGGGGGGCCGGGGCGGAGCTTGTTCTGCCTTTGTCCTAGCTTCCTCACGTCCTGAGTAGGTGCTGATAATTTCAGTCTCATCACAAATATTCTGAAATTTCAACTTATCGTGTGTTTTCCTAGTTTCAGCTTCCTCCAACTGACTCTCAGGGACTCCAAACTCTTATTGTGTTGTTCCTGCGCAAAGTCCGTAGCCGCCGGAGGACCTGTTCAGTTCCTGCATTACTCTGTCACCTTCTGTGACTCTGTTGCAACCTGAGCGGTAGCGTTCACAAAACATGTACAGTAGTTACACTGATTCTTTAAATAAGTGCTACTTTTTGGTTTTGGTTTCACAATTAATAAAAAAAAAAGTTCCCATACATAATTAATTCACAGAAAAAAAGTAGAATATAATTTGTTACAGGCGGTCTAAAATTCAGTCGCAAAGAAATGGCAATCTGTTATCATACAAATAGAATCTGACACACTCTTCATATCAAGTATGGGGATACCTACATCATGACATAATTGTGAAAAGACGAAAATCAAATGGGGTTACAGACAAATGAACTATTTGGCATAAAATAAAATGGAGTTCATACCTAAACACAATAATTCCTCACAAACTACACACGCTCTGAGATATTACAGATACAACATACCATACAATAAATCATGTTACATATCATAGAATACACCCTAATATGTATAGATAAAATGCACAACCAAATACACTCAATTATAGTACACAAATTGCAATGTTCACAGACACCAGGAAAGTTTCTCTTAAGCGATTTGTCAAATGCTTACAGGACACCCTGAGATTTAACATAGATTTCTCAAGCTAGGATATAGATGACCGGACCCCATGGAGCCAGAGGAATGATTTGTTTGACTTTATTACGAAGAGTCATGTCACACTCGCGAGACGCAGCAACATCGAGGAGCCCGAGTGAATGGGAATATTCCCAGGAATCCAATGTAAAACGAAACGGTCCTTATGGGAACCAAACCAAACCAAGGAGTGTCTGTTATTATGGCATTAACCATTTAGCGATATCGGCGCCATGTTTCCATTCCTGGTCCTACTGAAAAGCCATGAACACAACACCAAAACTTGAGCACACACAATTGGTATCTTTACTCACTACAGTAACAGATACCCATCAGATGGTTGCATACTTATGCCAATCCATCGTCCAATCTCTTATGTCTTTACTGCAACTTGACAACCCCTCTACAAAATACTCTCGGAAAAAAAATCACAATTCTCCAAAAACAAAAGTATCATAAAATTCACAATCGCCTACATACTCACTTGTGTCAAACACTCTCATTGCAACACACACAACAACTCACATGGACAAACAGCATACTCACTTTCCACAACTTATTGATGCAAGACAACACATTCTCTCACTTTTTTCTTAAAATCACACCTTCAAATTACCAAAAGCCAAATACACAAGAAGATCATGCACTTCACCATTGCACATCAACAACAACCAATAAAGTTCAGTTTAAAGCGCATTACTTTTTAAAGATCCATTCTAACAACTGGTTTTCTCCTCCTCGCGGGAAATCTGGGAGCGGGAGCAGCTACTGTATTCTCATCATCCCTTATATTATCTCTCTCATCAGGCTCTGATTCTGAGGAAGAATCATTAGGGGGGAACTTGTAGGTGATTTACATGGACAAACATATCCCTATTTATACATCTTTTCACCTTTTCGGCAGCTCGTTGATTACCTCGGTCTCATCTGAAAGGTTGGTTAAATCATACGCTGCACCATTGCATATGATATCAGTTACTATATACGGGGCCTTCCATTTAGCATTTAATTTTCTACCCAAACAGTTTCCCCTCGTTGTACTGCTGGATTGGCTATCCCGATTTGCTATGTTCCGGAATTCTCTCGACATTTATTCAGAAGTCTCTGTAATTAACCTGTGAGCTTCTCTCAACCCTTCGGTACTCTCATTTTTTATTATTGGTAACTCAATGCCCACTTGTCTCTGTGTGTGTCTGGAAAGGAACGGAAAATGAGGTTGTACCCCCGGTGGTGGTATGCACAGCGGTATTTAAAGCATACTGGGTAGCACCCAAGAATCTCGGCCAACATCGAGGATTATTATTTCGCACATGATCGATAGAATGTTCTTAAAGGTTCGGTGCATTCTCTCAGTGATACTGTTACCTCTGGGGTGGTAAGGCAAGATAAAATACATCTTGATGTTAGTTACTCGACAGAGTTCCCTGAACTGTGTGGCAGTAAATTCCCCTCCATTATCAGCAATCACTACTTTAGGACGACCGAAAACATTAATGAATTTCTCAAAATTCACGGGTAACTTCTCGAGTTGTCTTGGTGCGCAGAGGATAGAAATTAACGAACCATGAATAATGATTGATAACGGTTAACACATAGTGGTAATCGTTGATCCCAGCATGCATGTCTGTCCAGTCTACCGAAACTCGTTCTAGTGGTTTTGTCACTATCAATAACTCTTGCCAACGTTGAGCGAGTCCTTTAGTCCCTTTGAATCTTTGACACACCTCACATGATGATACATAATCAACACAATCTTTACGGTAGTTAGGCCAATAAAACAGACTTTCTACTCGGGTTATGGTGTTCCATCGTCCTAAATGACCTGACTTGGCATTGTCATGCTCTAACTCTAATGCTGCTTTACGTAAATGTTGAGGTATTACTAAACAATACAGCAATGCTTTATCAAGCTGTTCTTTTACTAGATACAATACCCTATTTACTACTACAAAGTTATCAATGGTGGCCTTTGGGTACCTACTGTATGTTGTAGAAGTCTACCGCCTTCTAAATACTGGGAACTTGGCTTATACATCGTAGAAAAACAAGTCTCAATAAGTTTACCTGTGTAACATAACTGAAATGTGTTCTGGTGTCTCGGCTCATCTTTTAAAACAGATTTAAGCTGGAAATAAATTAAAAATGTTACATGAGGTACAAATGATTTTTGCTCTTAATACCTTAAGCAAACTGTTACTACTATTACAGATGGTCATGGCCAAGATGCAAGAGAGATTGTGTTCTTCATTTCAGTATGTAAAGGTAAGTTGGTCACTATCATCATACCTTATCATCAGCAAGTATAACTGTCCCCCCCCCCCACAGTAAAATACTATACTGTATGAATATGTGAAAATAATATACATTATTTTTGTTTTATATGTTTGCTGTACGGTGATATTAATGGTGTTTGCTGAATTAAAGCATTTGTTAAAATCATTGCCAAAGACTTTTTACAGCAGTGTTTGGCTCCCATACAGTCGGTGTGTGATTGTGAGTATAGTGGTTTATAAGAATGTAAAGCCGAATTAGTGTAAATATGTGCATGAATGGAAGTACAATTCAGTATTGGTATATGGGTGTGAGGGCATTCTGTGAGTTTGATCACGACCTTGTGTGTTAGCAAGGGCGTCGATTGCTTTTGAAAGGTAGGGGGACATTGCATGTCCAAACCATTGACCCCATATGTCGGTGTGGACTTAGCAGGGAATATTTATGAAAAACTCTTTGAAGTGTATTTAAACATTTGCATATTGTTTCCCCCTACTAAGGAGAACTTTCCAAACACTGAAAAGCCGTTTTTTCTTCTAAAAACCAGTTTTTGTGATAGTCCACAATGCGGTCTAACTTTATACCTAGGTAGGTAAATGCCTAGCATTAACTTGCCAGGCCAACATACAGGCAATTAAAACATCTAATAATTACTTAAATACGTAATATTAGGACACATCGCTACCTGGCATTTAATTGCAATTCTCAAAACCACCTCCCGCACCCTCCATCACATGCATTGCTACCGTCATCTCTTGCCCTAGAGCGAGCAGTAAACAAATATCAACTCTCGAGGGGTGGAGATGGGTGGGATGTCGACGTTGCATATCTGGACTATATCAGAAAAACTGGTTTTTAGAAAAAAACGTTTTTTTGTTCAATCCAGAATGCGATATTGTGTATAAGGGTCCGCTAGCTTAGGTCCAGATTATAATTATAAACTTTTTGGAATATTTTCCAATATTTGGAATATTTACCGGAAGGTAAAATGTTAATTTACATATCCCAATTAGGATACTCACTTTATTCTGATGATGAAGAAGGTCCTGGTTGTGGAGATTAACTAGGTGGGGGAGGGGACCCCAGTACCTGGGATTTCTGATTACTTTCAGCATGCAGGCCAGAGTTAGGTTTTTCTCTTCATAACTATTTTATTCATGTCCCCAGTAGCGGTTTCAGCCTTTCCAGGCGAACTTTAGCGAGACTGCTAGCCTTAGTGATCCTTCCGGACGCTGACCTTCCAGTCTTACTAGCAATCTAGAGTTAAGTTGGGATGAACCTTGTATCCTCAGTATGGGGGCATGTTCCCCTTGTCTCCTACCAATCGATTCCCATGTGTGCTTGTATTTTTTTTATGTTCAGTAGCTGGTGAACAATAATTATTCTTGTGTGTTTCATTGAATATTTGATCATGATGCAGAAACAAGAAATCTTTATAATTTTTAGTGAAATATATTGCAACACATTTGCATTGTATAATTTTACAGTATAAATTCCACTTGTCCATTCAGGAGAAGCAGATAACAGACAAGGTGGAAAGATCGCTTCAGATATAGACCGTCAACTACGCCAGACAGCCGTCCTGCTCAAGTCTGCAGCAGCTCTTTCATCTTCAGTACTTAGGTAAATATAATGTACGAGTTTTTGTATGAATTTAATATTTAGTAGAAGTGGGGAGAACTTTGGAAGGAGAGAGAACAGTAAAGAAAATAAATGATGTTATTGTATTGATATTGAAACAGTTTATTTACACAGTAAAATAGAGATAAAGATTGGGCGATAAGAACAATATTGACATGGCTGAGCCAATTGAGAGCCTGAGCCCTCAGTGGCACATGATACTGTATATACCTTAAGGAACTATTATACTGTATAACATTTAGTATCATCTGGATTACTTCAGTAAATGTAACATGGTGTTAGTGAAAATATATTAGAATGTCGCCACTAACTGTATATCACTTTTTATTTATTTATTTACAGTATTTACATTTTTGTATTTACAATTTTACTATAAATATTATGCCGAGGCATGATTTGGTATTATAATGTTTGTAAATTAGGTGTTTTGATTATTTTCTATTCCAAGCAGCAGTAATTTTGGCACGTTTAGGAGATTTTTGTGTATATTTTGATGTATTCGAAATAAGGCAAACAGAGTATTGGGTTTTATATCTAGAAGTGTAAGTAACAAGAGTGCAGAGGTCTTATTGCAACTATATCTTGCGCTAGTCAGGCCGCACCTCGATTATGCGGTTCAGTTCTGGTGCCCTTATTATAGAATGGATATAAATTCACTAGAGTCGGTGCAGCGAAGAATGACAAAAATGATTCCGGGACTTAGAAACATTCCATATCAGGATAGGTTAAAGAAACTTAACTTGCATTCCCTAGAAAGACGAAGAGTGCGGGGAGATATGATAGAAGTATTTAAGTGGGTGAAAGGAATCAATAAAGGGGATATAGATAAAGTTCTTATAATATCCGAGCAGGATAGGACTCGGAGCAACGGATTCAAGTTGGATAAGTTTAGGTTTAGGAGGGAGATAGGAAGAAACTGGTTCACAAATAGGGTGGTGGACGAGTGGAACAAGCTTAGCAACTTTGTAGTAAGTGCGGGAACTCTGGAAAGTTTCAAAAGGAGGCTAGATAGATTCATGGATGATAGAGTGGTAGTAACTCTCGACAGGAGCTGCCATGCACAGGCCAACCGGCCTATTGCAGACTCCTTATTTTCTTATGTTCTTATTACCTAAGTAAGAATTTTCTAGAATGTATTTCATAATTTTTGTTATGATTTATTTCTTATTGTGAGCCTCGATCAGAGTAGAACGTTCTAGAACTTCCCAGACATGTCTGGGTGGTGCTAGGGTAGTAAGGTGTTCTAGGATCGTCTGATGAGGTATATAAGCGGCAGCGGGCTGCCTAACCCCTGGCCTAACCAATCACCTCGACTCGGCTAAATGGATAGCCCAGAGAAAGCCCTCCTGCTATTACTCCCTATTACTTTACTTCCCGTTTCTATTCTTTCCTTCTCTCTTTCCTCTCCTCTCAGGGAAAAGTCATTTGCCACTTTACTTCATCATCATAACACAGTCTATCGTTTCTGCCCAGTGTGAAATACAAGCCTAGTGACAACTAAAGATTATTGTTGGGTAAATATTGTGGAATTGTCGTGAGCAATATAAAGTGAAAAGACTGGTAGTGTACTGACTGTATACATAATTCGAAGTGAGAAGCCCAGTTGTGAAGACATACTCTGTGAGCAGATTTGTGAAGGTTTAATGATTATTAAAGAGGACTACAGTTCACAAGTGTGTTTCTGTGACCTGGTGGAAATTTACTTGCCTGTTGTTTGTCTGTACACTGATACTGATCATCGGGAAATTACTGGAAACTCACGGGACAAGTCAAGAAACCTGAGGGCTAACCCTTTCCGAGTGAGAATCGTGAACTCTTGGAACAACCTGCCAGAGAATATTGTGATGGCACAGAGTATGAGCTGTTTCTAGAACAGACTTGACCAACACTTCAGCAGGTTTAGATACATTCAGGAGCCAGTGCATGCCCAGTACTTGCCAAAAATGCTTAACAGAGTCATAACCGTTTGCCCAAGCGGCTAACGAGCCGATCAGTGGCAAAGAGGACAAAAGTAAAAAAAAAAAGTATTTTGATGCCTGTATTTGTATCGGTTATGATTAAATTCTGATCCTCGCCTAAGAATACTGTATAAATATTTAAGTGGACAAAGAAAGTGTCACACATTTAATTTCTATATTTCTTGTACATTTTGAGGAGTACAGTATATTTATGATTTTACTTCTTGTCATCTAACCACTTAGCCATTTGTTGTTTGGGTGGTTGATCTCTTCTTTATTTTATTACGACCTGTATTATCTGGTGTTGGTAGAGGAGGAAACTGGAGTACAGTACACTGTAGAAAACCTGTAAGGTTTGGTAGGGTCACCCTTCTTGCACTCTGTCCCATGGCAGTGATTGTACAAAAATGTATATGGACATGGAAGATATTCCATGTTTGTTAACTTTCCACTATTGTCATTTCCAGGTTTAAAGTTGTGACGGATTCAGAAGACCTTTTCCATCAGATCACAAACTTAACCTCTTCCTGGCCTGCTGATTATCAGAAACGTATTTTGATGGACTACCATAAAGTGTGGTACCCAGCTGAGAGAAAAGACATGCGCTCTATGTTTCGTGTGTGTTCAACAGAGAGGCTCTTCATTCCTGAAATGTTTTCTGACCTTGATGCTGGGATTTACGTAGATACAGACATGCTTTTTCTGAGGCCACCTGAGCAACTATGGGAAGAATTTCAGAAGTTTAATGATGTCCAGTTAGCTGCATTGGCACCTTGCCTGTTCCACTATGATACCAATAGAAATAAGGTCAGTATTTTTAAACCAGTGTGAAATATAGTAATCTGAAAATACAGTAAATATTGTAGAGACTCAAATGAAAGTAAAAAACTTGTGTACTGGTAGGATGAATTTTATGTATATATTTTATGCTGTACAGTAAAATCAATGTACTCAATGTTATCCAGTATTGTCATGGAATAGTTAGTGAGAGGTGTAAGCAAGAGTAATGGAGAGAGAAGCAAGTTAGGTAAGTAGGTGTATAGGCTGCAAATGTTAGCGGAGTCAGCTTCAGTTTGTAGGCGATGTTGCTACTGAAAGATTTTGGTGGTGCAGCGGTAACATATGTCAAGGGTTCGATCCTTGGCCCAGGCACACATGAGAAGGATGTTCTACAATGTAACCCTCCCAAACATCACAAGTTTCCTGGTCCTCGGTTTCCTCCTGTACTAATACTGGATAGACCAACCGCCTGAACGGCTAGTAAACTGATAAGTGGCGAAAAAAAAAATAGAACAGCAGCAGTAGTGAACATGAAGTGGTAAGGAAATTAAGAAGATCCATGCCACTCATTATTTATTTCACCCTACCTTATAGAATAGTTTTAGCAGTTGTCAAGCGTTTTGACTTGAGATTTTTACAAAACAGTTGGGGAAGACAACCAACAGGTGAAATTTGATATTCCCCAATTCCATACAGAGGTGTAGTTGCAGTGTTTTTCGCGTATACGAAACTTTAATTTAAAAAACATCTGCACCATCTTTGTATTGCACTCTCCTTGTCATCTCTTGACACTTCCCAGTAACAAATGTCCTCTGCATATGCCACTATTTGAAGGGAAAGTTATTGAATATTAACTTCCTTAATATAGCTATGTATACTATGTGGAGAAGAGGCAATACAATACTGTCTTGCTAAATGCTAATTGTTATCTCGAACCAGTTTTCATGTTTATATGACGTATTAACTTATAATACCTTTTAATAATTATCATTTATTCTAAATTATATGTTTTTTGCCAATTGATAGGTACTGCTGATTGTCACATACCTGAAACAGTACTGTTGGCAAGTACAGTACTGGGCATTCACTGGCTCCTGAATGTATCTGAACCTGCTCCGGTGTTGGTCAATTCTGGCCAGATATTTAGACGGTCCGTCTCTCGTAACGATCTTCAAGAGAAGTGCTTCCCCATCTGGAGTATTGTCACCCCTGTCTGGTCCCCGAGATATGCTATGGACTGTCAGTTGGTTGAAAATATTCAAAGGAGGGCCACCAGACTGGTGCCTGCACTTCGGCACCTCAACTACCCTGAGAGATTGGAGCGCCTGAACTTGCCTAGCTTATACTACAGACGGGCAAGGGGCGACCTAATTGAGGTGTATAAGCATCTCAAGGGGCACTACTCAGTTGAGTGTCCTTACTTGGAGCTGGCGGACGCTCGCCCCACACGGTCACAGCTCAAGATTGAAGAAACCACAGGTCCAGAAAACTGTGAGGGCAAACTTTTTAGGAGTGAGAGTTGTGAACTCTTAGAACAATCTACCAGAAAGTGTTGTGTCGGCACCGAGTGAGAGCTCTTTTAAGACCAGACTTGACCAACACTGGAGCAGGTTCAGGTACATTCAGGAGCCAGTGTTTGCCCAGTACTTGCCAACAGTGCCTAACAGAGACGTGACCGATCGCCCAAGCGGCTAACGAGCCGATTAGTGGTGAAGAGGATAAAAGTAAAAAAGTAAAAAAGCAATGCATCATTTAAATTAGTCACAAGTATTCAAATTGGCATGTCCATTTCTTGTGAAGTCAGCGTTTAGGACACATGGAATGAATTACACATGGCCGTTAGACTTCAGTGGCTGGAGGCTTTGAGAGGCACTGTCCAATGATTTATGAGTTTCTTTAATACAAAAATGTCATTTCAATGTAGTCATCAAATTCTCTGAAGGATGCGTACCAAAGACGTGTAACTTCAATTTTGAATTGATATCTCGAAGCTTCACGAGAGGCAAAAACAGTTATCCTAGATTTGCCTGGGTGGTCACATGCATCCCTGGGACTTGGTCACAATTTTTGTGATAAGAACATAAGAACATAAGAAAATAAGGAGTCTGCAATAGGCCGGTTGGCCTGTGCATGGCAGCTCCTGTCGAGAGTTACTACCACTCTCTATCATCCATGAATCTATCTAGCCTCCTTTTGAAACTTTCCAGAGTTCCCGCACTTACTACAAAGTTGCTAAGCTTGTCCCACTCGTCCACCACCCTATTTGTGAACCAGTTTCTTCCTATCTCCCTCCTAAACCTAAACTTATCCAACTTGAATCCGTTGCTCCGAGTCCTATCCTGCTCGGATATTATAAGAACTTTATATATATCCCCTTTATTGATTCCTTTCACCCACTTAAATACTTCTATCATATCTCCCCGCACTCTTCGTCTTTCTAGGGAATGTAAGTTAAGTTTCTTTAACCTATCCTGATATGGAAGGTTTCTAAGTCCCGGAATCATTTTTGTCATTCTTCGCTGCACCGACTCTAGTGAATTTATCCATTCTATAATAGGGGCACCAGAACTGAACCGCATAATCGAGGTGCGGCCTGACTAGCACAAGATATAGTTGCAATAAGACCTCTGCACTCTTGTTACTTACACTTCTAGATATAAAACCCAATACTCTGTTTGCCTTATTTCGAACATTAACGCACTGTTTTCTAGGCCGTAGGTCCGGGCTTACAAGTACCCCTATGGCAGCAGGGTCTACCATTGGACACACATGCTTCCAATATCTTCCCAGGCGGTTAGCAGGATTTACTCTAAAAGCTTATGCTCAGACCAGTGGATATTTTTTTATTTATTTTTTTACTACTGTACACATTTATTTTAAAATATATAACTGGAAGACATGTGTGTCCCTTTCTCAAAATAACATTATTGGAATTTAGAAAAAAAAATGCCGATAACTAGAAACCCAATTTCTTGTGTTCAGAATGTACTAGAATGAACTATTTAAATATGTTTAATCTAGTAAAAATAGAAGCAGTAGAGTTATCGATAAATTTTCATATGTGAAATCTCCACATGAGTGAGAACTTTTAACATGAAAATTCAATTGTTTGTGAAAGGTCACCAAGAGAAATTGTAATGGGGTAATTTATTGACCATCTGTGTAAGTCCCCCCCCCCCTTTATACTGTATATATATATATATATATATATATATATATATATATATATATATATATATATATATATATATATATATATATATATATATATATATATATCATGTAGATCCACAATGAAAACGTGGATAAGATAAATCTGATATGTTACATAAATTTATTTGTCAGTGGCCCAAGGTTAAAAATGCTTTGAAAACCTTTGATCTAGATGTATGATAGTTATTTAGTGGGTCCTTTATTTTTGACCTGACCTAAACAAATTTTTCGAATGGTCTGAAAAATGGCAGATGAAATTCAACGTCGACAAATATAAAGTACTCAGTATAGGAGATGTAAACAGGGAAACCAGATACCAGATGAACAACGATGCCATAGAGAAATCCGACTGCGAGAGAGATTTAGGAGTAATGATAAGTAGGAACCTTAAGCCAAGTAAACATTGTGTTTTTGCTCGTAACAAGGCTAATAAAGTACTTGGATTCATACAAAGGAGTGTTAGTTACAAGACAAGCGAGGTAATCCTAAAACTGTATCTTGCTCTTGTGAGACCACACCTGGATTACGCAGTTCAGTTCTGGTCACCGTATTACAGAATGGATATAGAATCCTTGGAAAGAATTCAGAGGAGAATGACAAGACTAATCCCGGGCATTAGGAACCTTGAGTATAGAGACAGGTTAAAGCATCTTAATTTGCACTCCCTTGAGAGACGTAGAGCGAGGGGCGACCTGATAGAGGTGTATAAGTGGAAGGCAGGGCTAAACAAAGGGGACATTACAAAGGTACTCAAACTATCCAACCAGGAGCGAACTCGTAACAATGGTTTTAAATTAGACAAATTTAGATTTAGGCGTGAAATAGGTAAACACTGGTTTGGAAACAGAGTAGTGGATGAATGGAACAAGTTACCAAATATCATCATTAACTCGAATACGCTGAATTGCTTCAAACATAAGTTGGATGCTCATATGAGCAATAGGGGTTAGGTGTAAACGGGGCTGCCCAGTATGGGCCAATAGGCCCGCTGCAGTTTCCTCCGTTCTTATGTTCTTATGTGTGTGTTGGTGTGGGGATTAGTGGATGACATCATTATGACCTAACCTCATGTTTTTAAGGTCACCCTGTATATTTAAGCCTCTCTCTGTCCATGTAATCCAGTTCCCTCTGAAGATGTCTTGAATAAAGACGAAAGCTAAGGTGCTCCGTTGTTTCCCTTTTCCCGTGTGATTTTATCAAGATATATATATATATATATATATATATATATATATATATATATATGCACTAATTGTTTACATAATTGTATTAAAATATGACAGTGATGCTTTGTGAGATAAAAAGAAGTTACACAAAAATTATGTAAGGTTATTTGTTTTTGTAAGAGTGAGGATTTTTTTTACACAAAAATGTTTTGCTGATATGACATAACCATCTGAAATCATCTTCTCCCCTTCCTCAGCTCCCCTATTATGGCAAAACGGGGCTCAATGCTGGAGTCATGCTCTTGAACATAACTAGGATGAAGTCCTTTCCTGAAGGTGGCTGGATGCCTGCACTGATTAAAGTTTTTGATCGAATTAAAAAGAAGATGAAACTAGCTGATCAAGACATTATAAACGTTCTCTTCAGCAAGGTAAGAAAATTATGGCATGGTATATATTCAAGTACAGTGCTGTAATAGCAATTATAATTTCAGGGCAAGATAAGGGATATGAAGCAGTTAAGAAGAGAGTTATTAATTGCAGACTAAAATGTATTTTATCATACATCCTCCCTGAGCAAAATTTAGTGGGTGAAAGTAGGTTGTGGTTTGAACCATAAAATGTCTGTCATTGAAGATTTACTGTGCTTTTGATATGATATATACCAGCAGTTCCCAAACACGGAGTTGCTACCCCAAACGGGATCACAAGATGCATCATAAGGGGCCGCATAAAGGTCAAGGGGTTGATGGGGTTAGAAAAGTAATTACTTTTTTTTAAGATGTTATTTGGACAAGTAATTATACATATATCAAATTATTATCACACACACACACACACACACACACACACAGCCGTTTGGGAGGGAGCGTGTCGCGGTCACTTTTACCCTCAATATACCCTTCTCCCTCTGGCTGGGGAGGTGGGTTGTTGACAGCATACTCCAGGCAGAGGAGCTTTTAATTTTTTGCTGATAAAATGCCACTGACCTGACTTACGAAAATATAACTTGCATTGCTAAAGTTCTTGTAAGATAGAGCGATTCATTTGAGTATAAACGTCCCTTATTTTGCACCGTACATAATAATTTTAGAAATTAACTTAGTACATTTGAGTAAAGGTTCAAAGCTTTGTGACATCACTAATGTATAATGAGTCTCCATATGCCCTGGTTTATTCATTGATCAGTTGTCTAAGTGCAAAAGTAGCCCTATCGAGCTATCGTGTATTAATTAATTTTAAAATAGAAATTATAATGTAAAATATTACAAGACAATGGTTGAGTAGTGCTGTTAATGTGTGTGCTGTGTATGTTTCTTGGCATGTCACATCACCACCTGACTCCAGAACAAACTCATCAAATTCTCCAAATCCTACAATGTGCTTGGCAAGCTCAAAACACACACACACACACACGGAAATTGGCCGTTTTGGGGGGGGGTGCAGTCACTTTTACCCCCAATAGACCCTTCTCCCTTCAGCTGGGAGGAGGTGGGGAGATTAAAGCACGTATACTCAAGGATTATCAAAGCAGAAGAGTTTTATTGTTTTGTTTATAAAATGCCACTGACTTAACTTAGGAGAATATAATGTGCATTACTGAAATTCTTGTAAGATAGCGATTAATTTGAGTATAAACATACCTTATTTTGCTCCACACTTAATAATTTTAGTAATTAACTAGGTACATTTGAGTACAGGTTCTGATAATTTATGTGGTTGCAGTTTCAAAGCTTTGTGACATCACTAATGTGCAATGAGTTTCCATATGCCCTGGTTTATTCATTGTCAAGCTATCATATATCAATTAATTTTAAAATATAAATTATAATGTAAAATGTTATGAGACAATGGTTTAGTAGTGCTGTTAATGTGTGTGCTGTGTCTTGGCATGTCACCTCACCACCTGACTCCTAAGTCTTCATCAACATTTTCAAATCCTACTATGTGCTTGGCAAGGTCAAAACACACTCACACACATGGGAATTAAGACAACAAACATCCAGTCAGCTCACTAGTTCTGTTCCCTGTTGTGCATTGATTAACCTAAAAAAATAACACTTTTTTCATTAACTTCTAATTTTGTGTCTTGTCACACAGTACCCTGAACTTATGTATGAACTGGGATGTGAATGGAACTACCGGATATTCCAGTGTTCAAAGGGCACCAACAAGTGTCCTGATGCTGCTACAAATGGAATTTCGCTCCTGCATGGCAATGCCTTGGCATTTGTTAGTGGAGAAGAAATGAAGATACAAGTAAGAAGTTATCATAGTATAATTTAACAGTTAAATAGTTTTATTGAATTTGCAGAGCTGTAAAGTAACTAAATAACTTAACCTGAGTACGTACTATATTCGAGTAACATTTTTGCGTATTTACTTTTTAAAAAATACTCAAAATTTTTAGTACTTAAATTTTCTAATATTTTTACTCCAATACAATTGAAAACAAAAATCGTTACTCGTTACATGCAAACTAATAATATATTTTTAAATTAATTAATTAATTATTAACCAATGACCATAGTAAAAGAGTTGTGTAGGTGGAAGGTATGGTGTGGGTGGAGCCATGAGGAGTACAGGTACAGTGTGGGTGTGGGGGGAGACCACACCAAGGTCAGGTCATGTCAAGTGGCAGTGTCCAAGACAGTGGACTTTCCCTTGGGTCTTCTTGTGTTCATTAGCCCCTTAGCTACCCACCTTACCTAGCCTACCCTCTTATCCCCCCTCCACTATCGAATCCCCTCTCTTCTCCCCCACCTTTCCTTCAGGGGCTTTTTCTAAAATGCTTTTCATAATTCCGTCTTTGATATAAAGCCTGTATCTATACATATGCATGAGACTTTTACATTGTGTAGCTCATAAGTCATGTCATCCATTGTAGGAATCAAGCCAAGGTTACATGCAGTAGACACTTTGATGCCATTATCATGTAGGGTGATAGAGCATTCGCTTTTGAACCATATTATTCCTCACATTCATGCAAAGTTTTTTGGGGACAATACAGCATGGAGGATTCTGATATCATTGCAAACCCCAGCCACCAAAAACACACACTGCATTATGTCATGATTATCTAATAATAATAATGTAACCTATTATATCAAATAATGTAAAACTTGATTGAAAGTTTAAGATTATTTAATATTTAAGTTTACAGTACTGAATACTGATAGCAAGCAAAACTGATAAAAAACCTGTAAGACTAAAGAGTCAAGACTCAAGATTAGACAATACATGAAACCTTTAAAGATGAGGACCCAGTAAATCCGGATTTCAGAAGATTCTGACAAAAAAAATGGGGGATTCTGGGCTAAGTAGCCTCCCTAAGAAGCATTCCCAAAACAAGGTGAAGGTAGTTTTAGGCTTAAAGTTTTTCTCTTATAAAATGTCAGACTAAAATTACCAGAATATAACTTACATTGCTGGAATCCTTGCAAGACAGTGAATAATTTGAATATAGTCATCATATATTTTGCACAAGAGATAAAAAAGTTGTAGTCCTATAGTGTACTGTAGTACATTTCAGTACAAATTTTTCAACTTGTGTTTTTGGGTGGATATACGTAACTTTCTTCCATTTATTTTTACTCATTTACATGCACTCTCTACCCTAAATACATACTGTGAAAAAGGTAAAAGAAATAATTGTCCTAAGGGCAAACCTGTACAGTACTCCAATGTACTAAATAGTTACTAAAACATTCATGTCTAGTGCAAACTATAGCATTCTGGTGTCCTTATTATAGAATGGACATAGATTTTTTGGAGAGAGTACAAAGAAGAATGACAAAAATGATCCATAATATTAGAAACCTTCCATATGAAGAAAGACTGAAAAGCTTAGGCTTACATTCATTAGAGAGGCGTAGAGTTAGGGGAGATATGATAGAGGTGTACAAGTGGGTAAGTGGGATTAACAAGGGTAAAATGGAAGATGTTCTGAAGCTCAGTAATAACGAAATAACTAGAACAAATGGCTTTAAATTAGATAAATTCCGATTAAGAAAGGATATAGGCAAGCACTGGTTTGGTAATAGAGTTGTGGATATGTGGAATAGGCTACCGAGTGCTATAGTAGGATCGGGTACGCTAGGGAGCTTCAAGACGAAGTTGGATAGGCACATGGAAGTGCTGGGATGGGTGTGAAAGGGATCTGCCCTGTATGGGCCAGTCGGCCTCCTGCAGTATCCCACTTTCTTATGTTCTTATGTTTGTATTCAAATTAATCAATATCTTACAAGAATTCCAGCAATGTAAGTTATATTCTCCCAAGTCAATTCAGTGACATTTTATAAGCGAAATACTTAAACTCCATCTACATGACAGATAAATAAATACCACTTGGTATCCTTCGTCGCTGGCAGGTCAATACCTTACCTTGTGGGGAACGGGTTGTTTGGTTCACACTCAGGATGGGATGTAGAAAGGAAACTCTCAATGTGCTCTCTGTATACATGTTGTATTGGATGTACAATGCAGCTTGGTGCTGGGAAGGCAGCATGGTTACAAGCGTGATGTAGAGAGAGCTGGTTGGTGAGGGTGCTCAGAGGAGGACAAGTTTGTGGGTCGCCATGCTCGCCAGCGGGAGCGAGGGCCGCCAGGCAGCGGCGGAGGAGGTGGTGTTGCTTGCTGCGGCTGTAGCTAGAAGAAGGGAGAGGTCACCATGAGGTCAGGTCTTAAATAGCGGAGGTAGGCGTGGCTTAGTAGTTGACCTCCGTGATGTATGGCGGCGCTGGTTGACCCAGACCACGAGGCAAACACTGGGGAATTTGCGGGGTCGGCTTCTCAGCGACACACAGCGTTTGTAGGGGAGGGATCCACTACAATACTCCCTCCTTCCCTCCAGGCGGTGTAGTATACTTGTTGTCTGCAGGGTTGCATGGCACATGTGAGGCAGAACGGGCGGTGCATTCCACATGTGAGCCATAACGGCGAGGGCGTGGATAAGCCGGCCGCTTTAGGAGACAACTGTCTAGATACACAATATCTGTTGGAGTAGAGAGGGAGAAAAAGGGTGTGTGGAGGCGATGAATGTTGTGCTTCCCTCACGGCAGGTACAGAGTCCTCAGATGCGCCTGCTGGGGTGTGTGGGCCTGGGTCAGGAGCAGGGGCTGCGTCAGCAGAATCGGATGAGGGCTCGTGACAGCAGCTGGGTCCACGACAGCAGCAGGGTACAGGACAGTAGCAGGGAGTACCTGAGGGAGAAAAGAGGGGTATCCGCACTCAGACGCATGGGTCGCGTCAGGAGCAGGGGCTGCATCAGGAGGAGCGGCAAGGGGTACTGCTGGGCTGGGGGCTGCGTCTGAGGCAGGACGGGTGTATTGTGGTCGGTAGGACGTGGTGCTTGGGGCAGGAAGAGGAGCGGCTGTCTGCTTTGAGTAGCAGAGCTGCTCTAAGGGTGTCTAACCTGTAGTGTACAGACAGTAGCTGTAGAGCCGATGACAGCTGCTTCTGTGTGGATAAGCCAGTCTTCCATGTTGCTTGAAGACTGGGAGAGTGATCGGTTTCTCCTCCATCCTGTGTGAGTGCGAATCTCCGGGGTCACCATTTGTGGTTCACACTCAGGATGGGAAGGAGAAAGGAAACTCACAATGTGCTCTCTGTATACATGTTGTATTGGATGTACAATGCAGCTTGGTGCTGGGAAGGCAGCATGGTTACAAGCGTGATGTAGAGAGAGCTGGTTGGTGAGGGTGCTCAGAGGAGGACAAGCTTGTGGGTCGCCATGCTTGCCGGCGGGAGCGAGGGCCGCCAGGCAGCGGCGGAGGAGGTGGTGTTGCTTGCTACGGCTGTAGCTAGAAGAAGGGAGAGGTCACCATGAGGTCAGGTCTTAAATAGCGGAGGTAGGCGTGGCTTAGTAGTTGACCTCCGTGATGTATGGCGGCGCTGGTTGACCCAGACCACGAGGCAAACACTGGGGAATTCGCAGGGTCGGCCACTCAGCGACAAACAGCGTTTGTAGGGGAGGATCCACTACAACCTCACCCTCCACCCCTTGCCTGGCTGTCAACATCTCCCCCCTTGCCTGGCTGTCAACACATCTCCCCCCTTCCCAGGGATGAAGGTAGCTTTAGGCTTAAAATTTTTATTGTATACAATTCCACAGACTAAACTTAGCAGAATATAATTCGCATTGATGGAATCCTTGCAATATAGTGAATAATTTGAGTATAGACATTACATATTTTGCAAAAAAATATATATATTTTGAGTCCTTTAGTCTAGTTACCTAGTACAAATGTGTATTGTAATATGTTGCTCAAAATTATGGCCTTTTCACTGGAAAAAGTCTGTATAACTAACCCCAGTAGTCAGGATAATATGTACTGTATTTTTGGTGTTTTTTATATCATTATTTATCGTTTTTATACATTTAGTACATTCGCCGGAAGATTCGACAATCGGCTTTTCCTGACAGGTGATGCCCCTTTTTGGTCTGGATCTTCAGGATTCACTGGAGTCACAATATTAAAGTTATAACTAATAGATCAACATACACACCTACATATAAATTAGTCAGTTGGTACCAATCACCATATAGTGTTGTCATTCAGATTTACCTGATTCCTAGTTCAGGATAAGGCCAGGCCAAGGTGCAAATATTACAAGGGAAATTACAACGGGATGAGGGAAGAGATGAGGGGTATCAACTGGCCTGACTCATTAAGGCACAAGAACGCAGACACTACGCTGAATATCATAACTAATAAAGTGACCCATTTGATCGATAAATATATACCAAAGACTAAACCCAGTGCCTCTAGGAATACGAGGGAATCCCTACACATGAACCATGCAGCGGTCGACAAGGTTAAGAAGAAAACCCAGAAATTCAAGACGTGGGTTAGGTCAAACGATGAGCAGGACAGGAGGATGTATGCAAGAGCCAGAAACCAAGCAAAGATAGAGTGTAGAAGGCCTGAAAAGGAGTTCCAGAGGCTGATTGCAAGCGAGGTCAAGTCAAACCCAAAGGCGTTTTACCGCTATGCAAAGTCGAAATTAAAAACGCGAATAGGAGTATCAGACCTGAGGCTTGAAGATGGTAGTTACACAGATTCTGACCAGGATAAAGCTGAGGCATTGAACAGCTTCTTTTCCTCGGTGTTCACAAGAGAGGATGCGATTACCCTACCTGCGTTTGAGGACAGACGGCTTACTCCTCAGCAAGTGTGGCTCGAACCACTGCGACACTGATCAGTGGCTCATCAGAGCAGAGCTCTCACTTCACGATGCCCAAAATGGCAAAGGCAGCAAGCCTCCAGAAGAGGTTTTAACACTAAGCGTCTGGAGGATCTAGTGGTAACACATGCTTTCAGAGAGCAGCTCGAACATGGGCTGATGAACAACCTGACAACAAACAGCCCAAATCCAAGTGCCAAATGGGATATTCTCGACTCTGTCATGACAAAAACCTGCAGAGAAAGAATACACCAGGGCTGGTTTGATGAATATGACCCGGGTTCCTTGAGAACCGATCTCTCGCTCTTTCTCTACCAATAGTGGTGTCCCTCAGGGTTCTGTTCTTTCACTTACTCTCTTCCTTCTTTTTATCGATGATTTACTTCACACTGACTAATTCTATTCATTATTTTGCTGATGATTCTACTCTTCACCTTTTTCCCTTCCCCCTAATTCTCAAACGAGATCTGTTTCTAGAGCTGATATCATTACATCTATCAATGCGGATCTGTGCAGCATCTCCGAATGGGGAGGTAGAAACTTGGTTAAATTCAATACGTAGTAATAAAACTCGGTATTTACCAATTACACTTTCCAAATCAGATGATCTCCCACCGATCACATTTCAGGACGCAATCATTCTGCCAAATTCTAAAATAGATATGCGAGGCCTTGCCATTTCGTCTAATATGTCATGGAAGCCACACATCCTCAACATTGCTAAAACTGCCTCCCAAAAGCTGGGAATGCTGTACAGATGCCTTAGCTACTTTACTCCTGAACAGTTGCTTCAAGTATATAAGGGATTCATTCGTCCTAACTTGGAGTACTGATCTCATATTTGGGGTGGCTCTTCTTCTGTCCAATTGTTTGATAGGGTGGAATCAAAGGCATTTAATCTTATTAACTCTCCTCCTTTAGTCAGTAATCTTCCTTCCCTCTCTCTTCACTGCAATGTTGCTTCACTCTCTCTCTTTTTACAAGTACTTTAACGGGCAATGTTTGATGGATTTGGCATCCCAGAATCTCAATGTGGCATTAGACCATCACGTAGCACCACTGACATGATCTTTGCTGCCCGTCAGATACAGGAAAAGTGCAGAGAACAAGTTCGTGACCTGTACATGGTTTTCATCGACCTAACCAATGCCTTCGACTCGGTCATCAGGGAAGCACTCTGGCGAACCATCAGCCGTTTTGGCTGCCAACCAAAATTCATCGCCATTGTGAGGCAACTCCATGATGGCATGAACAGCAGTGTCCTGCACAATGGTACCCAGTCTGAGTTCTTCCCCATCCAAACAGGGATTTAACAAGGGTGTGTACTGGCACCAACTCTCTCTTCCATTTTCTTGGCTGCCTTCCTTACTCGTGCCAGCTCCAATTTAGCCGGCGGGGTGGACATTGCGTACCGGATGAAGGGTCTTTTCAACATAAGACGATTCCAGGCAGGAACAAAGGTGTCGGCAGCTTCCATTGCTGAGCTTCAGTATGCAGACGGCCTCACCCTTGTCGCTCACACTGAACGTGACCTTCAGGAGATCCTGAACACCTAGGCAGATGCGTATGCACACTTCGGCCTTGAGGGGCATGTACGTAAGACTCAGATTCACTTTCAGCCTGCCCCTGGTTCAGTCACACACCGTTAAGCTGGATGGATATCCAGCTTAACGATACTACCCTCTCTAATGTTACCCACTTTCGGTATCTCGGCTCCCACCTGTCCACCACCGTGGACATGGATGAAGAGATTCTGCATCGGATCAAATGGGCATCTCGAGCCTTTGGCAGACTCCAAAACCGTGTCTTCAGCTGTAGGGAGTTGAAATTATCTACAAAGTTACATGTATATCGAGCAGTAGTCCTCCTCACCCTGCTATATGGCAGTGAGATATAGGTCACACACAGGAGGCACCTTAGGCACTTGCAAACTTTCACCAACGTAGTCTATGTTCCATCCTCTGAGTTCGCTGAGAAGACAAGAGAACAAATGCCAGTATTCTTGCTGACACCAACTGTAGGAGCATCGAGGCTACGCTCGACTGGCCATGTTACCCGCATGGACGACAGTAGACTGCCAAAGCAGCTAATTTGCAGTCACCTAACGAATAGTAAATTTAACGCTGGCGGGCAACTGAAAAGTTACAAGGATAATCTTAAGACAAACCTGAAAAAGTGCCAAATCAACCCCCTCACCTGGGAGACGATCTCTCCACATATTAACGCTTGGAGGATCACCACACAAGAAGGTGCCAATACTTTCGAGGTAGCCCAACTGCATAGAGAGGCAGACAAGCACCAACGCCGGAAAGACGCTGCCGCCGCCCCTCCCACACCAGATGTAACTTCCCCTCATGTGCAACTTTTGTGATCGACCCTGCCTGTCCTGTATTGGCCTCTTTAGTCGCCTCAACTCTCCAACGTAGGTGACATCCTTAATAACTCGTATCATGGTATCATAGCTGTATGATCGTCATAGTCAATTCCAAGTAGTAATAATGTGTGTCACACACAGGGTGGTGAAATGCATCTAGTGTGGCAGCACTATGTCAGTGTCAAGGTGCAAACACTGCTTGCTCCCTCTCGCTTTCAGCTGCCACCGCTGGCTAGCCCTCGTGGCGAACAGGGAAGCAGCTTGCATAAGTCTTCCCCTGCCAGTACACAGCCTCTTCACCACCAAGACTCCTACTGGGCTTCCTCGTGGTAACACACGGTAACTGGGTGCTTCCTTGGCCCAGGCTAGACCAACTGGGGATCTCTGAGTAGCAGTGGGCCCCAAGAGGGACGCGCCCCACTGGCATGTGGACACGTTCTGGCGCCGACCCTGCTGTCATGTGGATTAACCTTGGTAGGTGTAAGGCTACAGGAGTAAACCCCGAACGAAAACTCTGCAGTGGAGCCCCGTGAGGCACTCGTTACATACCCGAGATACGATGTGAGAGCATCAGAAAAGTGTCCCTCTCCCTAGCACACTCCGTTATATACGAGGTAACTGGCAACTTCAGGCATGCCGAACGGGAAATTCACCCATTGACATGCACTTCATTTAAATCAGTTGCTGTACATTTGGCTATGAAAATCAGTGTCATGGGTCTGATCAATTTCTTGCATCTACAATATTGTTAAAGTTTATCGTTAGATCCTCGAGACAAGAAGACTGACATATTCTTTCAGGATATTAATTACTTTCTAGAATAAAAAACTGACAATAGTTTCAATACAAACATCATATTCTCTGATGACTGGGAATCAAAATGATCTAATTTCAGTTGCAATTTGGAAACTCAGGGCATCCTTACGTACGATGTCAGGGATTCGTCACTTCTACTGGCAGACTCTACACTAACAAATTTGGCAATTTTACTAAACGTAAATACAGTTGAAGCTTTCAACATCGCTCACACGGGGATCTTGAATATTTCACCTGTAATCAGACATATCTAATTTAATGTAACATATACGCATTCAGTTGCAATTTCAAATTTCATAACATGATATGTACTAGGGAATATTAGAATCTCGGTACTACTTGAGAGAAAACGGAGGACTCAGACATACTGAAGTGGTGAGAAAATGAACGTCTCTACTGGGGGACTCAAGAAGTTACAGCCATTGAGTATAATACGAATCGTCTGATTTTACATTAACATAGCAACAAACAGCGTCACACAGTCCCCTAAAAGCCTCGTATAGCCCCTACCAGTCTCGGGCATTCTGTGGAAATGATACAGTCCCTGCAACCTCACACTGTTCACTGGCAGCCTCATAGTCCCATAAAAGCTTTGCATACCCCTTAACAGTCACACAGTCCCCTAGCATACTCTTACAGTCCTCAGAATCCTCACACTGTCCCTTAGCATCTCCACACAATCCCTTAGTATTTTTGCACATTCCCTTTAGTATCTTCACACAATCCCCTAGCAGCCTTACACAGCCCCTGACAAGAGAGAGACTGTGCAACATGGAGAGTTACCATCGAGTAACTGTTGCCATGGGCGTCTTTATAGCTGAATTATCGATTTAGTACTTCTGGTTTGCCACACAATCTCAAGGTTCCACATTGTGCAACTGCAGAGAAGATGAAAGGCATTAATAGCTTTCAAATATAAATTATATACCTTAGTGTTTCTCTGAATGATAAAACATGGTGTAAAATAATTAACAATAAATACTTCATGTTTCAACTAATCACAGTAAAAACAAAAAATAATAATTTGTTCTTTCTCAAGGCTGTGTTTGAGGCATGGGAACGACATGTGATGGGATCCTCAGTAAGCACTCTCCTGACCACCTTGCAACAAGATCTCGAGTCTGTCAGCACAAAGCATCTGCCGTCAAAGTGTGCTCGTATCAGTAATATAGACAGCTTTTTTATTAAAGAGCTTCAGAAGTATGTGTTAAGGAAATAGCTGTAGGGTTACTGAGCTTCAAATAGCCCTGGACAAGACAATGAATAATTATGGGGGCCTTCCCCTAATTGTTTTTATCTGTTACTAAAGGTACAGGTATGAGTTTTTAAGAATGATTAAACAATAAGATCTGATATGTGCAGAGACCAAAGTTCTTCCATTGGTGAAAATATCGCCTATTTATTGACAATTTGTTGTATGTTGCATATCAAATGGCAGTTACTTTGAAATACTGCAATAAAAATATTTATTTCTACTTTTTCTAATTCTGTCCTTTAAGTAAAAGTAGCTGAACAGTCAGGGTCAAGCCAATAGGCAGTTCTAATTGGCTTTATTATCAGGGTACAACTCCTGACTGGCCAGCAACTGGCGGAAGTAGATGATCGACTTTTTGGGAGATATTAGCATATTTTCCAAAGTAGATTATCATGGAAAACGGGAAATTTGTATCACATAAAATGTGAAATATTTCTCCTTTCTGGGAAAGTTGGTTATCTACTTAGCATAGAAAACGGGAAATTTGTATCATAGAAAATGAGAAATATCTACTTTCCGGGAAAGTTGGTTACCTACATTCCCGAAAAGTAGATTATCTACTTTTCGGGAAAGTAGATTTTCGACTTTTCGTGGAAGTAGATTATCGATTTTTTGGGAGATATTAACATATTTTCAAAAGCAGATTATCATAGAAAACGGGAAATTTGTATCACAGAAAATGTGAAATATTTCAACTTTCTGGGAAAGTTGGTTATCTACTTCTTATAGAAAACGGGAAATTTGTATAATAGAAAATGGGAAATATCTACTTTCTGCGAAAAAAAATGCTTTAAGGCATAAGACTTACAATTTTTGTCATTTTCGGCCAAAAACTGGATTTTGTTCAAAACTTCAGTATAGGTACTCCTGAATGTGCTGCTTAAGGATCTTTTAACCAAAATTTGATATCTTGATTATAACTTGTTCAAATGGCATTTAGAAAATGTTCAAATGATTTTTAGAATATTTTAATTACTTTTGCAATGCTAATTACTCGTCACTTATGGGTTTTCGAGGTCATTTCTTGGTGCTTGTGTATTATTCTGGATGTACGTAAGTAGTTAGGCACATTAAATTTTAGTTCAGAGAGAAAAAGTATTTTTGGCCAAAAATCCTTTCAGGCAATAGACTTACAATTTTTTTCATTTTCGGCCAAAAATGGATTTTGTTCAAAATTTCAGTATAGGTACTCCTGAATGTGCTGCTTAAGGATCTTTTAACCAAAATTTGATATCTTGATTATAACTTGTTCAAATGGCATTTAGAAAATGTTCAAATGATTTTTAGAATATTTTAATTACTTTTGCAATGCTAATTACTCGCCACTTATGGGTTTTCGAGGTCATTTCTTGGTGATTGTGTATTATTCTGGATGTAATTAAATAGTTAGGCACATTAAATTTTGTTCAAAATTTCAGTATAGGTACTTCTGAATGTGCTGCTTAAGGATCTGTTAACCAAAATTTGATATCTTGATTATAACTTGTTCAAATGGCTTTTAGAAAATGTTCAAATGATTTTTAGAATATTTTAATTACTTTTGCAATGCTAATTACTCGCCACTTATGGGTTTTCGAGGTCATTTCTTGGTGATTGTGTATTATTCTGGATGTAATTAAATAGTTAGGCACATTAAATTTTGTTCAAAATTTCAGTATAGGTACTCCTGAATGTGCTGCTTAAGGATCTGTTAACCAAAATTTGATATCTTGATTATAACTTGTTCAAATGGCTTTTAGAAAATGTTCAAATGATTTTAGAATATTTTAATTACTTTTGCAATGCTAATTACTCGTCACTTATGGGTTTTCGAGGTCATTTCTTGGTGCTTGTGTATTATTCTGGATGTACTTAAATAGTTAGGCACATTAAATTTTAGTTCAGAGAGAAAACGTATTTTTGGCCAAAATTCCTTCCCTGAATACGTCTGCTTACGATCTGTTAACCAAAATTTGATATCTTGATTATAACTTGTTCAAATGGATTTAGAAATGTTCAAATGATTTTTAGAATATTTTAATTACTTTGCAATGCTAATTACCGCCACTCATGGTTTTGAGGTCATTTCTTGGGGTTAGTATTATTCTGGATGTACAAAATAGTTAGGCACATTAAATTTTAGTCTAGAGAGAAACGTATTTTAGTCAAAAACTTTGGTTATAGACTTACAATTTCGTCATTTCAACAAAAATGGATTTTGTTCAACATTTCAGGTAATCCTGAAAAGTGTTGTTAAAGGATCTATAACCAAAAATTTGACATTCGATAATCTGTCTAAATGGTTAGAAAATGTTCAAATGATTTTAGAATATTTAATTACTTTTGCAGTCACAATTACTCGCCACTTATGGGTTTTGTTGCTTGGTGCTTGTATTATTCTGATGTACTTAAATAGTTAGGCAATACTAAATTTTAGTTCAGAGAGAAAACGTATTTTTGGCCAAATCTTAAAGCTATAGACTTCATACCTGTCATTCTACCAAAAATGACTGTTCAAAATTTAAAGACACAATCCTGAAAAAAAAGTGCTAACGATCTGTTAAATAAAATTGACATCTTTACTATAACTTGTCCAAATGGCTTTTAGAAAAATGTTCAAAAATGATTTTAGAATATTTTAATTACTTTTGCAATGCCAACTACCGCCAATTGCGGTTTTTATAATATTTTGGTGTAGTCATTATTCTGATAACTTAAATAGTTAGTAACATTAAATTTCAGTATCAGCAGAGAAAAATATATTTTGGCCAAAAAAATCCTTAAGGCTATAGACTTACAATTTTTTCTATTTCGGCCCAAAATGGATTTGTTCAAATTTCAGTATAGGTACCCTGAAAAAGTTAAAAAATGATCTATTAACCAAAAATTTGATATCTTGATTATAACTATTCAAATGGCTTTAGAAAAATGTCCAAATGATTTTTAGAATATTTTAAATACTTTTGCAAATGCTAATTACATCGCCACTATGGGTTTTCGAGGCCATTTTTGTGCTTGTGCATTACACGTACTATAAAAGAAAGGCTATTAAATTTAGAAGAGAAAACGTATTTTTGGCCAAAAACCTTTGGCATTATAGACTTCACAATTTTCGCCATTTTGGCCAAAAATGATTTTGTTCAAAATTTCATACAGGCACCTGAATGTGCTGCTTACGATCTGTTAACCAAAATTTGACATCTTGACATAACTTCGTTCAAATAGCTTTTAGAAAATGTTCAATGATTTTTGGTAATATTTAATTACTTTTGCAATTGCTAATTACTTCGGCCACTTATGGGTTGAGGTCATTTCTGGTGCTAGTATTATTCTACGTACTAAATAAAGTTGTGTTAATAAATTTTGAGAAAACGTATTTTTTGGTCAAAATCCTTTAATAGATTTACAATTATCTTCATTTCTGGCCCAAAAATGGATTTTATCAAAATTTCGTTACAGGTGTACTCCTGAATGTGCTGCTTACGATCTGTTAACCAAAATTCTGATATTCCGGATTATAAATCAGGTTCAATGGTTTTTAGGAAATGTTCAAGGATTTTAGAATATTTTAATTACTTTAGGTAGCTTGAATACTGCCACTTGCGGGGTTTTCGAGGTCATTTTTGGTGCTTGTATTATTCGGGACACTTAAATAGTTAGCACATGTAATTTTAGTTCAGAGAGAAACGTATTTTGGCCAAAAATCCTTTAAGGCTATAGACTTGCCACTCGTCATTTCGCCGTAAAATGATTTTGTCTAAAATTTCAGTATAATTTGAATGTATAAGCGGCTTACGATCTGTTAACCAAAAATTGAAGTTATCTTGATTATAATCTTGTTCAAAACAAGCTTTTAGAAAATGTTCAATGATTTTGGGAATATTTTTGCATCATTTTGTAATGCTAATTACTCGCCACTTATGGGTTTTCGAGGTCATTTCTGGCGTTGTGTGTATTATTCGATGTATTTTAAATAGTTAGTAAGCATTAAATTTTAGTTCAGAGAAAACGTATTTTGGTCAAAATTCTTTTATGTTATAGACTTATTAATTTTTTCTATTTCTGGCCAAAATGGATTTTGTTCAAAATTTCAGCATATAGGCATCTCTGAATGTGCCGCTTACGATCTGTTGAACCGTAATTCTGATATCTTTAGATTATATCTTTGTTCAAAATGGCTTTGTGAAAACAAGTTCAAACGATTTCAGAATATTTTAATGATGCGAGAATGCCAATTACCGCCACTTGGCGGGTTTTCGGGAGGTCAGCTTTGTGCTTGTGTATTATTCTGATGCAATTTATATAGTTAGCAAGATTAAATTTCAGTTCAGAGAGAAACGTATTTTAATAAAAAACTTTAAGGCTATTATAGACTTAATTTTCGTCATTTTCAATAAAAATGGATTTTAATTCGCCCCAGCATAGGTACCCTGAATGTGCTGCTTACGATCTGTTAACCAAAAAATTCTGACATCGGACAGAATTTGTTCAATGGCTTTTAGAAAATGTTCTGTTTGAGTTTTTAGAATATTTTAATACTTTTGCAATGCTAATTACTTCCGCCACTTATGGTTTTTCGATAGCTGGCTTTTGGTGCTAGGATTATTCGATGCATTAAATAGGTAGTATAAATGGTTTGGCCGTAACTTTTAAGGCTATAGACTTGCCAATTATCTTCATTTTCGGCTCAAAAATGGATTTGTTCGTACTTCAGTATAGGTACTCCTGAATGTGCTGGTTACGATCTGCTAACCAAAATTTGATATCTGATTAGAATCTCTGTTCAAATGGCTTAGAAATGTTCAAATGATTTAGAATATTTTGTAATTACTTTTGCAATGCTAATTACTTCGCCACTTGGCGGGTTTTCGAGGTTTATTTTGCGTTGTGTATTATTCCTGATGAATAAATAGTTAGTACATTAAATTTTAGTTCAGAGAGAAAACGTATTTTCTACAAAAACTTTTAGCAACATGTAACCGAACGAAGCATGTATCGAT